AGAAGAAGAAGGGAAGCAACGTGCGATGTTTCCGGTGCGGAAACATGTGTCACTACGCACGTGAGTGTACGGCACCAGTACACTTAAGCCAAGGTCAGCGTGGCGATACCAGGTATCGTCACGGCCAAACAAAAAACGGCAAGACCAGTAAGCGCGGGGCGCCCTACTGGTAATCCAGTCACGCGTGTCTACAACGGACACGCGGTGCTGAGGACCGCAGCCCCAGTGAGAGGGAATCTCACTGCAAGGTGCAAGATGACATGCCTAACCTTGTCATCTTGAAGGTGAAGTCGATGACGAAGAGAGCGGACTCTCTTCGGGTGTTGGTGGACTCGGGCGCGTCGAACAACTTTGTTCGACAGCAAAGTCTGCCGTTGTTGGACTTCAAGGAGAAGCATGGGCCTCGAAGTCAGCTGGAAGTGCGATTGGCAACGGGTGCCATCGTCAAGACAGAGAAGCGCGTGATTCGCGCACGCTTCTCGTACAAACACCGGGTGTTTGTAGAAGAACTTCTCGTCCTGGACTTGGACGACAAGTTCGACATGGTATTGGGCATGCCGTGGCTTGCACGGCATGATCCTGAAATCGACTGGGAGAAGCGTACGGTCGTACGCTTCGGACGCCGCGGCGCAACAGAGAGCGATGGCCCTGTTAGCGCAGCGGATACACCTAACGGTGCATCCGAACCTCCTTCAGAGAGAGTGGCTCGCACCGCTGTCTCCAGTCACAGCGCGAGGAGCGCGCAAGCTGAAACGACTCCGAGACAGTGAAAGAGTGTCTGGTAAGAGACCAGACACTTCTAGAATGTTCTCCGCCACAAGGCGTCGAGGTGACAACGGCGTGTCGACCCTGGGAGTTGACACACGCTCGGTATCAGAATCGAGAAAGTTCTCCGCCGTGAGGCGTCGAGGTGATGATGGTGTGTCAGCTCTGGAAGTTGCGACACACCACTCCGCCGAAAGGCGTAGAGGTGACGACAAAGCATCGACTCCAAAAGTCGATGCGACAAGTTGTGTGGACGGTTGCAAACGTCCAGCACTAA